GTTTCAATCCAGACTCAGTTTCGAGCGCTTTGTTGCGCACAGCTCCTTTAGGAGCCGAAACTTTGCTCTTTCGCGGTCGTCGCTTGCGCACTGGGCAATTTGCAGAAACTTTTTCATTCCATATCATAAAACACTGTTTGCAGGCAGTGCTGTTTGACGCCACGTCATAGAATTACATCGGATGTAGCTGCTCTCAGGCAAACATGCCGATAGATGAGGACCATATTATTATATGTAGTATTATCTAAATAAGTATTGCTTAGAATAATGAATTGTTTGCGTTGGACGATGATTATTCATTTCGATATTTATTTGGAGCTGCTTGTTTTCTTGTGAACTAGCTCTCAGCGCAGACATCAAGTTAACAAAACCATCCATTGTCGAGACAGAAGATAGAATACTGCTTCTTCATGTTTTTTGTAAACACCATCTATGTATTCATTCCGGGGTTTAGCTTTTAGTTCTTTAGTCAATTCGGCTCTCTTCTCCTAGACGATCTGATTTGCCTCAAAGGCATGAGGAGATCTGCTAGACCGAGTGGTTTTAGTGTGACTATAGCAGAAATTCATTGGCTCATGATATCTCATGAGGCTACTTTTAAGGCTAAGAGAATTCCATTTCACCCCTATTTTGCTCTGAAATATTATTATGTTGATCATTCCTGACCACCAGGACTGATGTCGAATTTGAGTTTACGAACTACCTGAGGATGAAAGAGCGGTTTTCGTAATAAAATAATTCGCTTTGGCAACAATCCACTTAATTCGGCTGAGAAACGTACATGGTTTTAGTATCAACCGAAATCCTTTAACGCATGACTTCACTAAAACCAAATTTCATTGCATATTGCACCGCCCCGATTCTTCTCTTCCCACCTGAATTGGCCTCGATTTAATGGTAGTTGAGCAACTACAGTTCCAAATGCATCTCGCATCATATTGTCCATCAGAGCCACCTCCCTACCATTACTGTGACGTTATGTATTACATTTTGCATAAACTGCTGTGTACTGCGTAGTGAAATAGCAGTTACAATAAAGAAGTCTTTTAAGAGAGGTCTTAAGTTCACCCATTCTTTGACCATGGGCCTAAACAGGTTTCAGATGCAACAGAGTTTTCTCAGAATCTAACATTTTGGACACCATTACACTCTGTAACATTAGGCATATAATATTAATACTGGAAGACAATTCAGAATTCTTTGAACCCGGTTGCACTTAATGGTATCAATTTCCATTATATTACAGCTAATTTATAACTTTAATTGATGCGCGCTGCTCGTTCGGCAAAAGGTCTAATTGTTAGCCCGAATAGGATGTCAGATTAGTCCATCTGTTATTTGTTCGACTGCCTGTGAGCGAAAATAAAGGTTTTATTCGAGTTCCAAAGATCAATCGAACTGCTACTTTGAATTGTAAAAATGGTTTGCTATAAATTAAACATAGTTTAATAAGTTCCAGCCTGTGTGACCATAAGCCATGAGATAGGTTATTATTAATAATG